CTGGCCCCTGTTGGCTGTATCGTTTTTTGGTGATCCCTATGGGTTTATTGTGGTAACGTTGTCAGCTTCTCACAGTTGCCAAGCGAGCGACTGGCGTGCGGGAAGTGGAATCTACTTATCATAGACTCGTCAATTCCATTGCAAAACGCGCAAGCAGTTCTTGCTGATGTGACAGCGTTCGATACCACAAGAGATATAAAGACGTCGTTCAGGTCAGGGTGGAGACTACAATAGGCTTTATCTTGGTCGATGATGTGCCACGGAAAATAAACTCGTTGCAGGCATTTTCTCGCGGGTCAAATTCCTGCCTGGCATGAGAATCCACTTTCGCCCAAGTCAGTGGGCAAATGCCTATATGACAAGTCAGCTGATCAAATGAGTTCGGTTCGACTTCTTTGCGACAGCCAGGGCCGAGGCGCTCAAGAAGTTCAGGCGCCTGGGTACAAAGCCGCTGCCTGCTTTGCTCCCGGACAATGGCGACCCGGAAGATGTGCACATTTTCGTCATCGGGGCAGCTCGGCCACGGTGATAGCCCGCATCAAGATTATTGTGTGTGCTTTGTGTTTGGGTTTGATGGCTGGGTTCATTGGATTTGCTTTGTCAAGGAGAGGCAGTGTTTGATCCACTAATTTTGCAGGTGAGATATGGCTCCCTGAATCCTGAATGTGTCATGAAAGTGCTCCAAAATGTGTAGGCCTTGTCGAAGTGATCAGGCTCGGAACGCGTGGAGTCTGTTAATGAAGTCTGAATCTGTGGGTCAAGTTTGTGGCCAAGGATTGGGGTACCTACCCAGGACCGGGGCTTTGGAGAGGCATTTCTATTCACAAGACCAGCCAGGTTGAAACGTTCCGCCTGAATGGCTGGTAGTGTCACTTCCTTATCAGCCTTATCCGTCCGCACGTTGCAAAACATCGGACCTTGCAGGAACCGGCATTAACATGGCAAGTGACTGGACCGAACAGCAACTTCGCTGCAAGAGGTCGGGAGGGGAACTTTGCTTTTTTGCAGCAAGTCAATCCAGCGCAAAAGAACATGCAATTATAGTTTTTCCGGATCCAGTAGAAGAAAGACATGTCCAGGCAGGTTCTAGCCTCCGGTTAAGCGCAAGCCTTTCGGAGCCCGTTGAGAAAGCCAATGCGTTCCATTGAGGCAAGGCAGGCAACCTTTCTTTTTCATTTTTTCCATTTCAGAGGTGGGCGGTGTTGTAGTTCTGCCCTGGTACAAACGACCCTCATTGTCCAAACACGATTGACACCGTGCCTGTCTAAGGTCCATTCTTTGATTTTGGGAAGGGGCAGTCTGAGTGTGTACAGTGTTTATGCGGCTCTTGCAAAACTGGAGCTCTCTGCTTGTGCATTTACTGCAGTGGATTTGATTTGGAAGAAGAGATCGCCGCTCAGGATGTGGAACACGCACTGCTTCCGGGGAGCCAGGTCGCCCCAGCATTGGAAGGAGGCGAAGGCAAACGGCTACACGACCGCCGCTAAGGCCGGATGTTGGGACGTTTGCAGCTGTCTAGCTTGGCCTTCAACAAAATGTGGAGCAAACCAGCAGCTAGGCCAAGCAGCTAGGTCAAGCAGGTTGGAAAAACTCACAGCTATAAGGACTTTGAGCTGTTGCATGCCGCTTTTCCGAGGCAACGTGATGGCCCTCTTGGTTTGGATGCATGAACGCGCCAGGTTACAAGATCATGGGGGGGCGGCCGACCGATTTGCGGCTCTATGCACCTGGAATGCAGTTGGGACAAAGGAGGCGCGGAGCGAACACATTGCACACAGAAAGTCAACGCTCATAGCTCACGGGGAGCGAGATGAGGCAAGGTGAGTTTCATAAGCTGGAAGCCTGCTAGTTGCCAGAGTTCTCAGTTTGGAGCCATCAGCGCGCTCTCAGCCCAATGGCCCAATGGACTTCTCTTGCAAGCATATATACAGACCCTGAAGTTGCACGGCAGGTTATGACTGGTGGCTATGTTTCGTTTCCTCCATATATCAATAAATCAATCATTCAATCCATGCGTCAGTCTCAGAGCCTCGGAAATGAAAGGTCGCCTCATTGGCGACAAAGTACACATATGTTCCTCCAGCATCCTCCAGCTTCCTTTCGTGAGCCGCCTTTGCAGGCGCGTCCAAGAACAATCGATGCAACCCGGAGACTTAGCAGACCTTGACGCTGACATGTTCACGAAATGCCAGCGGGTCAGAGAGGGATCATGTGGGGATACGTTTGCCCGCGATCTCGTTTGTTCACGAAAGCCTCAAAGATCCGAAGGGTTCTCAGTCCGAAGATCCTTTGCGTGTAATGTGAGTCCACGGTTTGTTTCCTTGTGTACATTTGCACATCATTGCACATCATTGCACAATTGCATATTGCCATATTGGCCTCCCAGGATCATGATGCTTTCTGGCGTGACCACTATGCCCAGCAAAATGTGGCCACTTCTATGACAGATCTTGCTCGGGAGAGGAAACCGCCCCTGAGCAGCAGGCTTGAAGGCCATGGCCAACAGAAACATTTGGTGCAGGCTCACGAGACAGCCAAAAACGCTTCTTTTTCCGCAGTTGGAATGTGGTTCAAGCAGTGCATTGCCATTCTAGCTGCACGCTTGGAAAGTGGTTCGGCTTCTCGGGCGCCTGCAAGAAGCATGGGCCATGAGGAGTCAACCTGTGTCACGAAAGTGTGTCTTGCTTTCATGTTTGTGTGTTTGTGTGTTTGCGTGCGTGTGTGCGCGCATGCGCGCGTGCGCGAGCGCGCGTGCGCGCGCGTGTTTGTATATGTGTGTGTGTGTGTGGGGCGAGGGAGATGTCCTTCGATGCACTGTAGTTCAACCTCCCACTAAGGAGCTTTATCATCAACACTGCTGATAACTTTTACTACGCAGGACGCCGCTGCTCTTTGCCAGGGAGTCCACATTGATTTGCTCTTGCCGCTGATGCAAATTGCACACAACCACGCTCCCTCAAGTTTTACACTTGCACACTTTATCTTGCTCACTCGTCAAATCTTTGACGCTCGCTTATTTGCTTACTCGCACACACGCTGCCCATTCTAGTGTTTGCACAACATGTGCCTAGACACACACACACAGACATGTATGGGAAGCTTTTTTTTAGCACATATGAATGAAACTGTGCTTTCCTTGATCTGCCTTTGAAAACAAAAAATGATGCCTTGACCATTGCCGCGTCCTGTTTCAACTTGCCAATGTGGCTCGAATGTTTATCCTCCGACCATGGAAGAGACATATTGACGCGTTGAACCTGATTGTCTCAAAATGATCGATTGGTAATGTGCAAACCTGCTTCAACTTCAAGCCTCCATTTTCCACCAACAGTGATGTAGCATCATCCATTGAGTTTGGCAGGAAAACAACCCTTATTGAGCTTTGCAACGCCACCAAAACCCTTATTCCTGTTTGAAGACTTCCCTCTCTACTCCTCAAAGAAGCCTGCATCTTCCAAGGCTAGTCGCTCGATCAGGGCACTCTCCATCTCGGCTCCGGAAACTTCAACCGGTTGCGCATTGAAGGCGCAGAGGGTTACAGCGAAATTTGGCCCGAAGACACGAAGACACGCATCTTCAGGGCGTCAGGCGAAGACACGAAGACACGAAGACACGCATCTTCAGGGCTTCAAGGCATCAAGGTTTCAAGGCTGTAGTGCTTGCACGCTTTCGGATGTTAGGTGAAGACACGAAGACACGAAGACACGCGTTTTCAGGGCTTCAGGTCTTCAGGGAGTCAGCAAGGCTTGGGCGGACATGCGAAGACACGAAGACGCGCGTCTTCAGACACTGCTGCCTTCAAGGCTTGGAAAGCATGGGGCACACAGCTCAACAACTTAGTGGTAGATAACACGGGCCCAGGGAAGCCGAGATTGGATGTCGCACGCCTCCTGCCAGACATCAAAAAGCTTGCCACAGCTGCTCCAAACACTGGTCGATACAAGTAAGGTCCGGCAGAGGCGGGCGGCGGAAGTTCCGCAGTGAACAACTATAGTTTGGAGAGCTGTTCTTTGCCCCTTGGTTCTCTCTCACTCTCTCTCTCTCTTTCTCTCTCTTTCTCTCTCTCTCTCTCTCTCTGCCTGTCTCTCTGTCTCTCTCTGTCTCTCTCTGTCTCTCTCTGTCTCTCTCTGTCTCTCTCTGTCTCTCTCTGTCTCTCTCTGTCTCTCTCTCTCTCTCTCTCTCTCTCTCTCTCTCTCTTGGTCTTGTGTGCTGTTTTCAGCTTTTTTTATTGTCCTTTTCCAAAGCCTTCATCCCAGTCCACCAAAGCAAAAAAAGCGAACGAGCGCTTCAAGTTCGACTTTCCTTCTTCCCCCCCCCCGGAGAGCGCCTTTTCTCTGCGTCTGCTCAAGCCGTGCTGTATTGTCTGGGCCGCGCATCCAGCTGTAGGACGGCTTTTCCCCGACACACGGCTTGCGGAGCGACAGGCGGTCCGTCCCGGGCCACTTGGCTCAAAAACCTAGCCCAAGCTGCAAATCTTCCGCGCGCAATGCCTCATCCCGCTTGCTGCCCACGCGGCTCATGTAGTTTTCGACCTCTCTCGGCCGTAGAGCAGACTCCACGCTCTATCTCAGAAATGTCTCTGAAGGACTGGGTGTCCTTCGCGTTCAGCGCCATGACTTGGCGCGACGAAAGCGTGCGTGGCAAATCCAGCAGCACGTGCCATGCTTCCAAGGAGGAAATCTCCTGCGGCACTGCGGCGTGGACGAAAAGCCTGGACAAGAGCGACGCTACGGTCATCTCTTGGTCATCTGGCATCTTGCAGATGACTTCGTCGATGTACGACGACATTTTGAAGCTGCAGGTTGCCGATGTACTTTGTCAGATAGTGGACGGCTGCTTGCGCTGTCAGGACCGCCTGATCGTCCACGTTAGCCACCAGACCCATTGCTTTCAGTGGGTCGTGTGTGTTCAGGTGGTGGCAGTTGCGCCGGCCGTGCAATCTGTACAAGCCCTTTCGCCGGCCACCCTCCATGATGGCACCTGTTCCAGGCGGCGTTCGCGCCTTCTCGTAGTCCTTTCCGCAGTCCACGTGCGACCGACTGTGCTTCGCGCAGCTCTCCTTGTAGCCGGGTGACTTCTTCATCCCTTGGAGCGCTTGACTGACTGTGGGGTTGAGTAAAGTGTGACAAGTTGCGTGGTCAGGTGTGAGGTGTGCCAAATGCCCAAGTCGACGAAAGTAACTAGATTTGAGCCACGTAAAGTAAACAAAAAGACAGTTACTCTTGCAGAGTGCCTTGGACTGAGCAATCAAAGACACTTGTGTCTTTCTGCGGCTTCCTGCGCTTGTCGTGCTTCTCTCTTTCGCTCTCTTTCTCTCATCTCAGTCTTTCTTTCCGTCCTTCCTGTCTTTCTGTCTTAACATATCGATGTCTCCGTCTATCTGTCAAGACCATTCCGAGACCGCCCCGAACCCGCCTCCGAGCAGGCGCCGCAATCACGAACGGCTCGCAGAGTGTGGACACAGCGCCTTGCGAAAGTGCTGCGCCTGCCACGAAATCTCTACTTGACCTTGCGAAAGAGCTGCGCCTGCCAATAAATCTATGCTTGACCTTGCGAAAGTGCTGTGCCTGTCACGAAATCTGTACTCGACCTTGCGAAAGTTCTGCGCCTGCCACGAAATCTGTACTTGACCTTCTTGCGAAAGTGCTGCGCCTGCCAAGAAATCTATACTTGACCTTTTGCGCCTGCCACGAAATCTATACTTGACCTTGCGAAAGAGCTGCGCCTGCCACGAAATCTGTGCTTGACCTTGAGAAAGTGCTGCGCCTGCCACGCTTGACCTTGCGAAAGTGCTGCGCCTGCCACGAATTCTGTACTTGACCTTGCAAAAATGCTGCCCCTGCCACGAAATCTGCATGCGCCGCCTTGCGCGTCCGCGCCAATGGGATTTGCGATGTGTCCGTGCCAGAAGTAAGAAAAGGCTGCGCCTGCCACGAAATCTGTACTGTGCCTTGCGAAAGTGCTGCGCCTGCCATGAAATCTGCACCCGACCTTGCCAAAATGCTGCGTCTGCCACGAAATTTAAAGCCTGCGAAAAGTCCGTGTGTCTTTCTCGGAATCTGTCTAGCTATCTAATTATGTAGCTATCTATCTGGCTGTCTATCTAGCTATTTATCTATCTATCTAGCTCGCTTCATCAAAATGTCTACTTCGAGAACTACTTTTGTACTTGACTTTTTCCATTTTCAAGCTGCAGCTGGGAGAAGTGCACTTCGAATTCTACTTTTGTACTTAACTTCTTCGATTTTTGACGCACAACTGGAAAAATGTAATCGCACCTTCAATCACGAAAGTATTGCGCCTGCGAAATCTGCACCTCACCTTGCGAAATTGCTGCGCCTGCCATGAAATCTGTACTTGACCTTGCAAAAACGCTGCGCCTGCCACGAAATCTGTACTTGACCCTGTGAAAATGTTGCACCTGCCACGAAATATGTACTTGACCCTGCGAACATGCTGCCCCTGCCACGAAATCTGTACCTGACCTTGCGAAAGTACTGCTCCTGCCACGAAATCTGCATGCGCCGCCTTGCGCGCCCGTGCCAATGCAATTTGCGATGTGTCCGTGCCAGAAGTAAGAGAAGGCCGCGCCTGCCACGAAATCTGTACTTGACCATGCGAAAGTTCCGCGCCTGCCATGAAATCGCTACCCGACCTTGCCAAAATGCTGCGTCTGCCGCGAAATTTAAACCCTGCGAAACCTCCGTGTGTCTATCTAGCAATCTATCTAGCTACCTAATTATGTAGCTATCTATTTGGCTGTCTATCTAGCTATTTATTTAAGGCAAGCGTATTGCGCCGCAATAGTTACGTATTCATATTGCCCGAATGATACGGGCTATCATGGAATGGCGATTTACGCTACAAAACTTGGAGCTAACATTTTGACAACCAGCCGTTTGTTTTGGAGTTTCTGTTTGGGCCACAACCCCTAACTTCTTTCCAGGCTGCAAGTCCCTTAACGAAGACACGAGACACGAAGACACGCCTCTCCTAAACGTCACAAGCGAAGACACAAAGACATAAGGATACGCATTTTCACGGAGTCGAGCAAAGACACGAAGTCGCGGGTCTGCGTGGCTTCCGAGCGAACTTAGGCGAAGACACAAGGACAGGAAACGCATCTTCAAACCTTTACGGAGGCAGCAGACCTGGGACGAAGACACGAAGACGCGAAGACACGAAGACGCGCGTCTTCAGATCTTCAGGGCTTCAGGGACTCAACAGGGCTGGGGCGAAGACACCAAGGCGCGAAGACACACAGACAAGCGTTTTCAGAGCTTCAAGGCTTCAGGGAGTCAGCAGGGCTTTGGCGAAGACACGCAGACGCGAAGCCACGAAGACACACGTCTTCAGGGCTTCGGGTTTTCAGGGAGTCAGCAGGGCTTGGGCGGAGACGCGAAGACGCGAAGACAGGAAGACACGAGTCTTCAGGGCTTCAAGGCGTCAGGCTAAAAACGTAACCCGCTGCACCTGCTCTGTTCGGTTGCGTTTCGTGGCCTCCTTTCTTTCGTGGTAGGCAACTGAATCAGTCTTGCTTGAGTCTGCAAGCCCACAAATCGTCGCTTTTCTTCCCCAGAGTCGGCGACTTGCACCAGCCGCTAGCAAGCGCACAACATATTCGCAGTTGGGCTCAGAATGCAGCAAGCAGTATTGAGTGGTGCTCTTCTGCGGGTGTATTAGCATTATTTGGCAACACCACGGTGGGGCTGGCATCTAGGTTCTCCTTGGTGGGAACCATTCGAATCAGAGCTTCATGTGTGGCTTGGCTAAATGTCCCGTCGCCAAAGGCTGAGTCCAGCGGACAGTTGTTTCTCGTAGCTTTTGCGCAGGAGTGGAGAGCACCACCGACCCGCTTTGGAGCATGATGTTCGAGGAGCGGCGTTGCGCTGATTGTGCCAGAGCCAAGTTGTGGCACCCCAGCTATTCCCAGCTGATTCCATCCGTTTCTGCCGGTGCCATCGTGGGTGTTCCAAGAAATTCAGCACATAGCCACGCAAGCTTTGCTTGCAAGTGGGCCTTTGCGCAGGAGCTCTACCCTGATCAAAGTCTGCAGATCCCCTGGCTTGGCTCTCTAGGCATCTCCACATCGATCCGTCAGTTTTCATCACATCGCCGCACACTTGCTGATTGGTGGATGAGCAACCGGGAGCAGCACTAAGAAAAGGAGGAAAGATCATGGATTCAGTTCCTGCTCAGCCCTATGTTCAGACACTTTACAATTTATTTGTGTTTTGCTTTGGAAGCAATCGGAAACCATGTCTCTTAGGGTCAACTGAAACGTTGGGGGTCAACTGAAACGTTGGGGGTCAACTGAAACGTTGGGGGTCAACTGAAACGTTGAGGGTCAACAGAAGGCGAATGTGAAGCGCAGATTTGGGGCACATCTTTGTTCGGCTTTGCAGCATGAGATAATGAGAGAGAGGGACACACACACAAAAGAAAACAGAGAAAAATAAGTACAAGGCCGATCACTGTACAGAATAGCCAACAAATACCACGAGAGAGTTGTGTTCCGTTTGACGTTTGAGCCAGAGAGCTGTCGCAAGATAATTTTCATACGCCCTTCCACTATCACGTACTTGCTGAATATCTCTTGACCGACCAAGGTGGATGGTGTACTTCGTAGTGAAAGGATTATTCTTTTTAAAAAATGAGAAGAGCTCAGAGACGTCCAGCAAATCAGGGAGAATCAATATCTCATCCATGGTCAATGCCAAACAGGACATTGTTAGTGACTGGATACAAGTTGGGCATACCATGCAGGGCTTATGAAGGTGCCGGGTTCACCATGTTTTCTTTGCCAAGCAAGTAGCTTGGTTGTGGAGTCCAAGCGCGCCAGGCAACCATGACTATGGCGGCCATACTTGCGATGTGTGCTTGGGCTTGAATTCACGCAGTTGAAGAGAGGCCATCATTCGCCTTTCAGATGCGCATGTCAGATTCAATCATATCGCGTGGCATGTGCGCTTTGTGTGCGTGTGAGCTCGGTACAGCATCTACCTGACGGTTGCACAGCGCTTGGCAAGAGCTGTTCTGAAATGAGAATCCGCATACTTATTTTAGAATAGTGTTCATCACCCTGGCACAATTTGTATCCACAGTATTCCGCGGTTCAGGATTTGGTAAAGGCATAAGAATCAGACAAGATGGGTTTACAACAACAGGTACGTATCATATATCATCAACACAATGTTTCTTGCGCTGGCTGCAATACGGGACCGAACGTTGCCCACATGCTCTCATCGCATGTTTCCCGGTGTCGATTTTGTGTGCCGTATAGTTACCCCAAATATGCCCGGCGTGCTTCTCATCCCCAGCACATACATCAACCTTGACTTGACGTTTGCTGCATCCAAGGTGCCTTTGGCCCAAAATTGGGCACAGGGACAATCGTCGCGACAGCCCCTGCTCGCAGGTGCCGGCATCACTTGAGAACATTTGAAGATTGTGGTCATTTTGAGAAGTTCAAGAAGTTCACGACAGACGTTGATGTCTCCCAGAAAATAATGCGTTCCATGCCAAGATGGGAAAACAAGACTCCCTATCTTGCGAAAGGAGCTCCAGAGCATAGGCCTTTAAAGGGGCGTATGATGAAATGATTCGCGTGCATGAACTAAACCAAGCCAAAGGCCCACTTCCCACCCACCCTAGCACACACGCACCGCCCCACTCAGGCCATGATCGACTATGACACGGAGCATGACTGGCAGTGGCCAAACAACAAAAAGGTGCGATGGGTGCTTCCCATGAAAGGCGACTTGGTGGCAAACCGGTGTTTGCCATCTTGGCACGCCCGATCCATGGACATTTTGCAGTAGCTTGTCAGCGGAAATATGCAAAAGACTTGTTAGCAGTGGTGTGAGACGCATGTGGAAGCTATTTGTATCAACCCACCTTCAGAAAGGCGTTAAAAACACAGGAACGTAGTCATGTCTGCGGAAACTTGGCACAAATTCTACGATGCCGGCTTTCCACAACTTCAGTTCCTTCCGAAAAG